ACCGGGGGGAGGGTCTGGGACACCGGAGCGTCGGCTGTCACCCCCGTGCCCCCTTTCACGTTGCTGCGGAGCGAGGCCTCAGCGGAGAGGCTTCTCCCGGTCACTGTAACGGGCCGTCCGAGGCCGGGAGGGCGCGGGGCAGCCGGGTCGGGCCATGCCGGCGCCGGGGTGTTTCAGCTGCATTTCTAAGTATTAAGGCTTCTTAAAAAGACGTAGCCGCAATGTCACTATCACGTAATTCCTTGCTATGAAATGTCCAGTAAGAGTTGGAACTTTACGGATTGATCAATAAAGTTTTTAGTTGTTATTTGGTTGGTTTGCTTTTAGCACATGGTTCAAGTCAGATGCACCTCAGGCCTCCTAAGCTACAGCCCCCCCCACCCCCGCCCGGGGGCCCCGAGAAGGAGGCGCACCGCCCAAGAGGGGCCCCGTTTCCGTGAAGCAGCCGGGTTGGCCCGGGGGCCCGAGCAGCAGCCCCCGCGGCCAAGGGCTGTGGGTTTGATTCCGGGCCGAGGGCGCGCCCCTGGGCTGCCGGCTGCACCCCGGGCTGGGCTAAGGAGGGTACTTTCAGTGACACTGACCGCAGTCACAGATGTTCTGAGGACCATGCCTTGCACTATTTTTATTGCAAAGGCATCGCAGGCGAGTTCAGCTGCGTTGTCTCTGCGCGGTTCAAACAGAAGAATCCCTTTAAAAAAACAAAACCATGATCTCCGCCGACCCAGAGCAGAGCCCACGAAGGTTCTCTGTGCAGACGGGTGGTCGGCAGGGGCCAGNACCTGGTCTCTCCCTGCTCCTCGGCAGCCTCTGGGGCCTCCACACCGCCCAGGAATAATGCCTGGTCTCTCCCTGCTCCTCGGCAGCCTCTGGGGCCCCACACCATCCAGGAGTAATGCCTGGTCTCTCCCTGCTCCTCCGCAGCCTCTGGGGCCTCCACACCGCCCAGGAATAATACCTGGTCTCTCCCTGCTCCTTGGCAGCCTCTGGGGCCCCACACCGCCCAGGAATAATGCCTGGTCTCTCCCTGCTCCTCGGCAGCCTCTGGGGCCCCACACCGCCCAGGAATAATGCCTGGTCTCTCCCTGCTCCTCCGCAGCCTTTGGGGCCTCGGATGCACAGCTGGGTCTGCAGGCAGGAGCCCCAGGGTGCACCGGAGCCTGACACCTTCTAGCAGGAGGCCAGCCTAAGCCTGGGGACGATCGCAGCCAAAACTGGAGGGAGGGCGGCTCTCTCCCTAGAAAGCACTCCCTGGGTGGGGGTCAGCGTGTTGAATTTCCACTTGGGGTTAACTTTTATTTCTTTATTGGTGGGAAATGATTTCAGATCTCATTGTTTTGGGATCACTTACAAAATTGAGAAGGAAATTGATGACTCACTTTGTGACTGACAGGTTATAGCAAACGGGAGCTTCGGGCCGCCTTCCCTCCTCTCCCAGCTTGAATCGGACCTGCTCTCCGCCCGGTTGGCGTGTGCTTAGGGAATGAACAGTGATTTTGATGTGACATGTTCAATTCAGCCAAACAGGTTGGCAGTCAACGGGGCTTTGAGCCCACTGTAAAATCGGTGTGCTTTTCCGGTCGACGTTGTAGTGCTAACAACCCTGCAAAAGTAGACAGCGGGATTAAACAAAAACGGATGCACCGCTTTGATTCCTTTGCGCTTGCTTTCGCAGTGTGGATAGTGTGGGCCATGGGCTGTGGAGCCTGACAGTACCCAGAAGAGAATGACAGTGGAAGTGGGAGGCACTTGGTAACATGGTGTTTTTAATGTGAACTTTTTGTTTAAAGCGAATGCAGCCCTGAGGATTTGGCTACTGCGTATAACAACAGGGGGCAAATCAAGTACTTCAGGGTGGATTTTTACGAAGCCATGGATGACTACACGTCTGCCATAGAAGTCCAGCCCAGTTTCGAAGTTCCGTATTACAACCGAGGGCTGATACTGTACAGGCTGGGTAAGAATTTGTCGTCCTTTTGTCCTTGGCTATGTAGATAGTCGCTGAGTTTAGAGCTCTTGAATATTGTAAAAGGAATGTAGTAATCATCGAGTCTTAAAAGTTATGTGAAATTTAGGTTTTTGAGCCTGGAACAAAGGGGTCGTTCCTGAGCTTATTTTAGGCGTTCAGTAGGTGTTACCACAGCGGAGCACTGGGGTGGGAATTGGACGTGGGCGCCGGAGGGAGGGTGACCCCGTTACTTTGTGCCTGTATGTCCCCAACTGCGAAATGAGGGTAATGCTGACGATCACCTGTGAAACTTTTCTGAGTTAAAAATCTTTGAAGCCACATGAGACCATGTAAAGTGAAGGAATTTTAGATCCTTGGAGCGTAGGTACTGGTTTTCATTTAAAGTGTTAAAAGGAATATTTCCTGTTTCCTAATTTTCATGGTACTTATCTAAAATAGGTGACATGATTTCGTTGGCATTTCATGATGATTTATGCTATTTACCTGTTAAATCTCAATAAGTAACTCCCTAGCTAATTTTAAGTATATTGTTCTGTACGGACAGACAAAATTATTTTGATATAGACATTCCTATATCATTACTGTAGACATTCCTATATCATTATTAAGAGAAAAAAACTTCAGTAGGAGGGTTGAAAGCTCATAAATATAAAAGCAAAATCATGTGTATCCAAACTTTGCTGTGAATTGTATAAGGAAATACTCAGCCTCTTTTCTCCTTTCCATTTCTTTGGATTCTGGTACAGGATACTTCGACGATGCTTTGGAAGATTTCAAGAAAGTATTAGACTTGAATCCTGGATTTCAAGATGCAACTTTGAGCTTAAAACAGACTATGCTAGACAAAGAAGAAAAACAGAGAAGAAACTATTGAAAAATTTAACTTTGAAATATTAACTCATGATCCTTACATCTGGCGTCTCATTGTCTCTAATTTAAAGTAGGTGTTGAGCTGTTTTGATCTATATTTAAGATAAAGAGCTTCATACATTAGCACTGAAAGTTAAATAATTGATTTAAGGTAGTTAATTTCAGGTTAAGTATTTATGTTGCATAAGTATGCTTTTCATAAATTATAAATAAGTAATAAAATGTGTAATTATATATTATTACAGTAAAATATTTAAAGAAATGTGTGGTGTTTTCAGTAAAACAATTTTTATGCTATATTTTTATTCTCAATTTTTTATTTAAAAAAATTTACATCTATAGAAAAGTTGAAGTATAATATAGTAAACACCAGTTGTTAACATTACTTCCCATTTGCTTTTTCTCTATATTTAAATATATAACATTTTGCTGAACCATTTGAAAATAAGTTGCAAATACCATAATACTTTACCACTAAATATTTTAGCCAGCATCTTCTAAAAATAGAGATACCCCCCTTTATAGCCACAATACCATTAATAAAATTAACAGTTCTATAATATAATCCATATCCAGCCCCTATTCTATCTTTCCCAATTGTGTCCAAAATATTGTGTGTAGATTTATATTTCTGGATCTGGAGTCAGTCAAGTTATATTGCATTTTGTTATGTCTCTTTGACTTCCTTTAATCTAGAATAGGCCCCTGCCCATGTTCTCCCCGTAACTTTGAGAGCAAAGCTATTTATGTATCTGTGCAAGAGAGAGGTTACATTTGGTGTTAAAAATAAACAAATGTCCTACAGGAGAGCGATTTGAAAGAATTCAGCCTACACTGATTTTTCTCTAGAAATCATTGATCAGGTGGGTTAGGATTGAAATATTGAACATAATTTTCTGTCTGCAGATAATGCAGTAATTATTGTCATCATCAACATTTACTGAACACTTAGAGTTTAAGTCAAGCGCTGCTCAAACTCTTCACATAATAAATTGGGAATGGGGTGGGGGTGGGTAGAGAGGCGAGGAACTGATGAAAAGCACTTAGTAAATATAAAGCTGAAAAAAATAGCTTATGCTTCTTTAATCACAAGAAGATAAAGAACACATCCATGTAGCAGAAGACAAATGATTAAAAAAAGAAACCTGCAAGGACGTCCAAAAAGCAGAAATTATGACCTGTGAATGTGCATGTGACAGTGAAATACGAGCACAGGAGTATCATCCTGGCTTTGGAGCTGTCAGCATCCGCTGCGCACAGCACGGTGAAGTCTTAGGTTTTTCACAGGAGAAAGCTGAGGCTGAGACATCCAGTAACTTGCCCAAAGCTATGTCCCAGATCCACAGAAACATCAGGAGCTGCAGTTAGTGTCAGTGGATTTTTTTGTTGCTGGCATCAACCCGAAGCAGATACTTGATGCTTTTTTTTTGGTCCTGATGCAAAGTTTAAATTGCCTGTAAAATATTTTAATGCCCATCAAGGTGAGTATCAAAGTCATATTAAAATATATTTAGTTTTATTATGGCACATTTTCACAATTCCAGACTTGCTTATTGCTAATTTTCCTTCCTGATTGAAAACAGACACGAAAGATGGTGAAAAGTAGATTAATATTAAGAGCAAACTGCATTTGGAAAATTGAAAGCCGCAGCTGCCAATATGTAAATTTGTATCTGATGTTAGGAAAAGTGTCCAGCATTTGTAAATAAGGCAGAGGGAGGGCTGCGCATCCTTTCAGTATTATGCTGAGCACACCCTCCAGAGCCCCCGGGGACGGTTTCATCCTGAGCTGCGTCTTTGGTTCTTCTCCTTACTCTTGATTAGGGCCCAGGCTCTGTGAGATGATGTTTAACTGGTAGGTTTTTGTCCAGATGAGATGCAAATAATTTTTGTCCGGCAGAAACAGTAACCCTGGGGATTATGGCTTTATTGCCCTGGAGGACATGGACCAGTTTTCATTCTAACCTGGTAACTTCACTCCCCATGTTTTTACTCATTGACCGTAGACACTCAGTTCTCAGACGCTCTTTCCCCATCCTGGTGGTTCTCTGATAAATCAACACTTGTCATGTGTGTGTTCTGTATTCTTGTAAGAGTCACGCTTAACTTGAAAAATGTACATTTTGACACTTCTATGCAGAAAACAACTTTAATAGTGCTTGTCCTTAATATAGTCACTTAAGTTATTTCTTGCAGGAGTAAGAGAAAAGGGGGACTGAAAAGGTTCTACTGCCTATTGATTTAAAATATTCAATAGTTCCCGTTGGGTTATGTGGAGGTCCGAGTGCTGACCGAAGGAAAGTGTAGGGAAGGCTGTAACCTGACGTTGAAACTCTCGTAAGTACTTTTTAAAGTTGGCAAGAACTGCTGAGGGATATACTTTGTTGTAAAAAGTGAACGTTCCCTCGCGAAGGCCCTTCCCCATCCTCACTCTCGGGGGGCAACCACTGTGAGGTTATACCTGCCCCTCTAGACCTTTCCTATGTACAGATACACACACATGTGGATGCAGGTACATGCAGAGAATTACCGTCTACATATCGTTAGTAACTTGAATCGTTTAGTATCTTGGGCATGTTCTACGTAAGGACATAGAAATCCACTTCATTGTGCTTAGTCTCATGATTTTTAAAACCACATTAGAAATGCATGCCAATTTTTTGTTATAAAATTAATAATAGTTATGGTAATAAAATTTAAAGTGGGGCGGGAGGTATAAATGAAGAGCGAGACCCCCTTCGCTTCCACAGTCCCCTCCAGAGCAACTGGACACAGAGGGTTAAAGGCTCGGGTTCCTGTTCCCGCTGGTCACATATTTAAAAAATTACCTCTCATTTCACTGCCTTTGTGGCTCTCTGCCCTCGAGGCAGCTTTGACCAGTTTGTACCAAGAATGCCTCCAAACGGATCCACATTTATTTGAGCCTATTTCCACCTCATTAGAGGCCTCTTTTTAAGATTACGGAGTGGCTGCAACAAGCTTAAAATGCCCGAGACTGAGCTCTGGGCCTCCCCCCTCCGCTCATGGTGTCTCCAGTCCGCTCCTTGGGCCCGACCCCTTCCCTCTGGGCCCGCAGCCGCCAGCGCACCAGCTCTGACCTCAGCACCGATCCCGCGTCCAGCGTTCCCGCTGCCGCCTCTGCCCAGGCTAAGGTGTCACCCCCTCTTTCGTGCAGGTCCCTCAACTAGTCTCCTGCCCTGGTCGTCACCCCCAGGTCTTTCAAAACAGCTGTCAGAGCGAAGGTTTGCAAAACGCAACGGCTCTCTCATCACCTAGAGCAAGAAGCAAGGTTTCAGAGGCCTATGTCGAGGAACATCGTGCTGGCTGTGTCCCCCCTGCACCCCTCACCCCATGGCCCACCCCCTTCTGGCCTTTGCCTTTCTGTCACCTTAAGGTGGTGCTCCTTCGACCACCCCGTTTAAAACTGCGAATCCCGAGCATATGCCTCATCTCTCTCCTTTTTCTCTCTCTGCCCAGATCCTGTACTTACTCATCTGTCCACTGTCCTTTCCTCCCTGGAAGGTAAGTTATGTCAGGGCAGGACTTCTGTCTGCTTTGTTCCCTGCTGTGCCATTAGCACCTTGAACAGTGAATGACATTCAGAAGGGCCTCAGGTATGTTGAATGAATAAAGGAATTTGTTGTCCAACCTGCTGTTGGACTTGTGATTCAGATCTTGCCAATTTATCCCTGGCTATTAAGTGTGGCGTGGACAAGTGCTCGATCCCTTGCTTTACAGTTGATTTTGAGAATATGGCCTGACCTATAGTTCAGTTCTCATTTTATTTAGAATAGCTTACTGTTCTAGTTTCATTTAGAGGAAGAAAGCTCTCCAAAAGACAAGGTCAGATTCAGTGGGGACTATATGTTTTAGTATGGCTTTATAACACGTACCTGTTATGGGTCGAATTGTTTCTCCCAAAAGATCTGTTGAAATCTTAACCACTGGTACCCCAGGATGTGACCCTATTTAGGAATGGATTGTTGCAGATGTCATTACTTAAGATGAGGTCAGCCTGGCTGGCGTGGCTCAATGGTTGAGCATCAGCCTAGGATCCAGGAAATTGTGGTTCGATTCCGGGTCAGGGCATATGCCAGGGTTGCTGGCTCGGTCCCCAGTGGGGGTGTGCAGGAGGCAGCCGATCAGTGACTCTCATCATTGATGTTTCTCTCTCTCCCCCTCTCCCTTCCTCTCTCTGAAATCAATAAAGATATATTTAAAAAAAAAAAGATGAGGTCATATGGGATTAGGGTGGGCCCTTAATCCAATATGATTGGTGTCCTTTTATAATACCCTGCATGACTTGGGTCCTTATAAGGAGGAAATTTGGACACAGACATGGGGGAAGGCACCGTGTAAAGATGGAGGCAGAGGTTGGAATGATGCTGCCACAAGCCAAGGACTACCTGGGCCACCAGAAGCCGGAAAAGCAAGGATCTGGCCCTGGAGGCTTTGGAGGGAGCCTGGCCCTACTGACACTTTGGTTTCAGATGTCTGGTCTCGGGAACTGTGAGAGAATATATTTCTTTTCTCATAAACCACCCACTTTGTGGTACTTTGTTATGGCAGCCCAGGAAAACTAAATATCCAATAAATATTAGTTCAGTTATCAAGTGAGAGACCTTTTGCACATATGCTTTTGTGTTCTCGCACCCACAGTGCAGCTCTGTGGAAGAAGGGATGCACATTTAGTTAGAACAAGCCCATAAACGAAAGATTTCCAAGGGAGGGAGGGAGGCCTCCAGTTTCCTTCCGCGGCCGTGACCCTGAGTCAGGAGGGGCCCCATGACTAAGCGCCTACAGAGCACACTGCTTTGCCCTGGCTGCCTGCTGAGAAGTTCACAACCACCCCAGGTGCCTTCAAGACACTCAACTCTTGGAAGACTGGCGCTCCTCTGGCCTGAGCCTGGAAAAGGGGGAGTCACCTCAGGCTGCCAGATAACAAGGCGTTACAACAAGCCAGGTGAAGCGCCATCCAAGTTGGCCAAGCAGGCGGCATTGGGAGCTGTCAGTGGGGCTCGCAAAACAATAATCATTTCCATTTTGAAGACCAGCTGCCAGTAGACTTACTGGAATTGGAGCAGCTTCTGGGATGGGGAGGGCGGGGTGGAGGCCTGATGGAGTGAGGTGCCTCCATGTGGAGCCCCGGGCCTCCGTCTGTCACTGATGTCAGCCCATGACAATGGTGACAATGGCCGGTGTCTACTGTTCTACCTGTTATCCTCACTCCCACCTCTCTGCCTCTGCCCCTGCCCCAGG